GAAAATATTTGGTTTACTAAAAATATTCTTAGAAGAATTGTTATACATCAAAAATGTTTTAAAAACATTTACTATTCAATACTGCTTAAGAGAACATTGAGGTATTATAATAGTAGTATTTATAGCTGGCATAAGTAGATACAGGGCCAAGTTTTTCAGTGCTCTGAAGGCTGAGGCATTCCTATGCTAATTGGAAAATGTTAAATGAATTGTGGTGCCCCAGTTGAATGGATGATGTTATTTTAGTTCTAAAAGTTAGGCATTCATGGATTTCTGCCTAAAGTTCTTTTGTAACATAAAGAATAAAAACCTTTGGACATTTTTTAATGAATCTTAAATTGTCCACTTTTCCTTCCCCCAACCAGAGTAACTATGTTGGGTATTAAATAACTACTACTCATTTTTGGCTTTCTTATCTGTGATTCTTACATATTAATGAAAATCAGAGCCTTTTCATCTAGTAAATTTAGAAATTTGACTAGGTTCCAATAGTTAGTGTAATGGTACCCTTCATCTTCTTCAGACCAACATTCATCCAAGATTCTAGCCTTACTTGAAAAGTCAAGATTTCAGAAGAAGAAAGGAGTTCAGCCAAGATGGAGGCATAGGTAGATACACTGTGCCTTCTCTCATAACCAATAGAAGGATAACAACACACTTAAAAAAACAAGCACAATGGACAGAAAAGCGAACTGTATGGAAGTCTGATAACCAAGGAGTTAAAGAAGAAACATTTATCCAGATCGGTAGAAAGGGTGGAGATGGGCAGCCGGGGTAGAGAGGAATTGTGGCAAGGTGGCAGCTGGTGGACTGGGCAGTCCCACATACATGTGTAGATAAACCAGGAGGAACAACTGGGGAGCGAGACAAACCATGCAACCCAGGTTTCCGGTGTGGGGAAATAAAGCCTCAAAACCTCTGACTGAAAAAACCTGTGGGGGTTGCAGCAGCAGCAGAAACTCCCAGCCTCACAGGGTTCTAGAATGTATACAAAACCACCCACCCAGGAATCAGCACCAGAAGGGCCCAATTTGCTTGTGGGTAGTGGGGGAAGTTACTGAAAGCTGGCCAAGAGCCAAGCAAGAGACATTGTTCCCTCTTGGACCCCTCCCCCACATACAGTGCCACAACACAGGAACAGGGATTGCCCTGCCCTGGTGAATACCTAAGGCTCCACCCCTTACTATGTAATAGGTGCACCGAGACAAAAAAAAATGACCCAAATGAAAAATAGATCAAAGCTCCAGAAAAAATAGAACTAAGCGATTAAGAGATAGCCAGACTATCAGATGCGCAATTCAAAACACTAGTAATCAGCACACTCACAGAAGTGGTTGAGTATGCTCTCAAAATAGAGAAAAAAGTGAAGCCTATGAAAAGTGAAATAAAGGAAAATGTGCAGGGAACCAACAGTGACAGGAAGGAAACTGGAACTCAAATCAATGGTTTGGAACAGAGGAAATAAATATACATTCAACCAGAACAGAATGAAGAAACAAGAATTCAAAAGAATGAGAGGTGCCCTGGCTGGTGTAGCTCAGTGGATTGAGCGTGGGCCTGTGAAGCAAGGGGTTGCTGGTTTGATTCCCAGTCAGGGCACATGCCTGGGTTGCAGGCCAGGTCCCTGGTGGGGGACACATGAGAGGCAACCACACATTGATGTTTTTCTCCCTCTCTATCTTCTTCCCATCCCCTCTCTCTAAAAATAAATAAATAAAATATTTTTTTAAATGAGAGGTTTAGGAACCTTCAGAACAACTTTTAACATTCCAACATCCGAATCTACAAGGAAGGCCACAGTATTGCAAGTCATTGAAGCAATAAAACTGGCCTTGGGGTTGGGTGGGAAAGGAGAGGACCTGGGTTCAAATACAAGGTGAGGCACTGACTGACTGACTCACTCTAGGAATTTAGGCAGGGTAACTTTTTAAGGACTTTGTGGCCTTTTTTTTTTCCAGAAACTGAAAAAGTTGTGCTAAATGTACTGAGTGATCTCTGGTTTCCCTGGGCTCAAAACTCTTGTCGTAGTATGTAAGCTCTTGTATTTCAAGTCACGGAAAAGTCTATTTGGCCTAACATGTTAGGGTTCTCCCCACAGCTACTCTTAGGGAAGGTTCTCTTCTTCTTGTCGTCTTTCTACAAAATACATGTACTCTCAGTTCAGTCACTTCCAGTACTGTGAACAGAATCATACCAGAAAATAACCTCTAGTTTAAGCTAATTAATAGAATCAATTACAGGTTAAGAAAAAAAGACACACACTATCTGGCGCTGTCTAGCTTATGACCCAATTTTTACCTAATACATATTTTTGTTTCTATGTGTATCTGTTCAATTACTTAAATCTGACCTCATCTCGGGCTGATTTCTTCCCTCCATTTCCTTCCTCCTGTCCTTCTCATCTCTTCCCCGCTCCTTTCTCATCATCTCTTCTCTCTCCTCTTCTCCCATGCCCTTCCTTCCCCTCTCCTCCTTTCCTTTCCCCTTTCTCTTTCTCTGTCTCCATCTGAAAAATTTGTAATAGTTGTCTTTTTTCTATGTAATCCAGTTTTTCTATATCTCTAATGATGTCAAATGGTCCAGCCTCTTCCTCCAGGCTGAGCTATATGCCCAGGGATTACTTTGAGCACCTCTTTGGGTGTATCTGCCCATCTGGGCACCTAGCTGTTACAGAATAATAACACTCCTAAATCGGTCTTTCATGTTTCTTTCCTTCCTGCACACCCCTTTCTCTCATGTTTCTTACACTCCTGGACTGTTTGGGTGATCCCACAATCTTGGCACCCAAGTGCAGTCTGAGCCTTTCTATATAGTCATTTTTAACATAGAGGCTGTGTACAGAAGCTTAAGTCCTAATCATTTGGAAAATTAAAGTGGTGGATGATCTGAGAAATTGAAGTGGGGATGGGAGCATTGAGAGGAGCTCTTCTGTTATCCGTGTAAAGTTTCTTTCTTTATATCACTCAGACTCTCAGCTTCCTTATTTTTATGTTTTCCATCCTTGAGTTTCATCTCTTTTGCTTTATATTCTTAAGAGGGAGGGGGGAACTCTACAATGGTAGCTTTCTTGAATTATCTTGAATTTTCTGTACACCTGCCCACTCTAAGATAATTGGTGTGCCTACTTCCCAAGGAACAGTATTTGTATTAAAGAATCACTTGGCGTCAATGCCCAAGTGCAGATGTCCTGTCATGTGTGATGGTGCCTCATTCAGAGAACTCAAGGACCAGTAAAATAAATCAGCAACATCTTGGCTCCATGCTCCAGTCAAGACTGTTAATTTAACAGGGTCATGCTTCCATCTCTGATCAGACAGCTCCTGGCAGACAGCTGCTCCCCTGCCCCAGAATGTGGTGTCAGTGTCCGAGTAGGAGTCTCCAAGAGCAGCAGGATAGGGAAGGTGGTAATGCATCAGAAAATTGAGCAGTGTGGCATCGAGGTGCTGGGAAGAGGGAGCAGGCTGGACCTCTGCAAAACGTTTTTCATCCACTCCTTCTTTCTTTGTATGGATACCCACACAGTTACCTGAGGAAGAAGAAAAACTTGTCCTGAATTTTATTGGAAAATTGTCAGTTCTGCTTTCACTCTCACACGTAGCTTATTTTCAAACATACCTTTGTATATCCATGACATGTCGATGTAGCTGCATAACAACAGGCTTATATGTTTGTCCATATTATGTCAAGCAGGCCTACATCATGATTAGCTGGATCTAGGTCACTGGGGCAGAGCTGGTATGACGTACCATTGTCTTGGCTTGCTGTGGCTTACCTCCTAAACTGGAGCAAAGACCATGGTCAAGACAAGGTAAAGATTTGGGCCAAGCACAGGACTTGGTACATAACAAGCACTCTTTTATTATTGGTTTTTAGAAAGAAAGTTGCTGCATTGTTCACTGTTGTATGGGACAATGTTCGCAAAAGTTATGTATTCTACAGTTGAAGGAAGGAATATGTGGAGACCATAAGTAACCACCCTGGGGCACCATGGTGAGCAATGGAGCTATGTAGAATTTGGGTTCTTGCCTATATGTTTCTTTCCATGACTGTACCTTCTATCCCTATCCTGTGATTTAATTTCCTTGTGGAAAGATGTCATTTGCAGCATGTTATGCTGTAAATCTTGTATCAAATGGTAAAAACTTTGTATTATAGTCTCTTGCTTTTAGTACTAGAATGACTCTATCGATAATAATATAAAACTAATTTTAGGTTTAAATTGCTTTGGGAGTAAGAGTTTGTGATTTGAAATATATGCTGTTTTATCAAAGGTAGAAATGGTGTTTTTTTTTCTTTTCTTTAAACTCAAGAATAATGGCCATTTTCTGTCTTTAAATTGTGAAGATCTAGTGTGTTGATTACTGGTGTTGGACCACACACAAGGGAAAGCACAGATCATTTTGTGACCGGCACTCTGAGTTGTCATAGTCTGAACAGAAACCCCTGGAACTCCTTTGCAGTTTTATGCAAAACCCTGATAGAATTTGTTATCTAAACCTTGTCCTGAATCTATTGATTTTCTGGCTAGACTTGAAGTCTTAGGGACAAAAAAAAAAAAAGACTTTTCCATAATATTTTTTGAATGTGAAGTTTTGCACAGAGTCTTTCTTAGAAACCCTGAAAAAACAATATCTTTCAGAGCTCTTTAATTAAAACATAGGGTGAATGTGCTTTGAATTGCCAGGGTCCATCTGTAGAAATGCTGGTTGAAGTTTGGCAATGAAGAGACATTGAGCTGGGGAAAGAAATGCATATAAAATAATACCAGTGATACTGCAAGGCCAGAAGGATGTTAGTTTTTCATAAAATAACGTGTTCTCTGCCCAGTCCTCCACATGGAGAGGGAGGAGGCTTCACTTGAATTTCCACAGTATCGTCGGTGTGTATACTTGGCACAGTGTAAGACATTCACTAAACATTTGTTAACTGCTGTGAGCTGAAGAGAAAAAAAAAATCACTCCATCTCTCCTTTCTCCCCTCACTCCCTTCTCTCCTCCAAGGTTGAAAAAAACGATGAGGACCAAAAGATTGAACAAGATGGCATCAAACCAGAAGATAAAGCTCATAAGGCTGCGACCAAAATTCAGGCTAGCTTCCGCGGACACATAACAAGGAAAAAGCTCAAAGGAGAGAAGAAGGGCGATGCCCAAGCTGCTGAGGCCGAGGTGAGTGAGAAGAAGGAAGATGTCCCTGCTGCTGGTGGTGCCGAAAAGAAGGAGGGAGAGGGTTCCACTACCACCGAGGCAGCCCCATCCGCTGGCCCCAAGCCCGAGGAATCCGGCAAAGCAGGAGAAACTCCTTCGGAGGAGAAGAAGGGGGAGGGCGCGTCCGATGCTGGTGCAGAGCAGGCAGCCCCCCAGGCCCCTGCCCCCTCAGAGGAGAAGGCCGGCTCTGCTGAGACAGAAAGTGCCACTAAAGCTTCCACTGACAACTCGCCGTCCTCCAAGGCCGAAGATGCCCCAGCCAAGGAGGAGCCTAAACAAGCCGATGTGCCTGCTGCTGCCACTGCTGCTGCTGCTGCCACCACCCCTGCTGCAGAGGATGCTGCCACCAAGGCAACGACCCAGCTTCCGACGGAGACTTCGGAGAGCAGCCAAGCCGAGGAGAAGATAGGTGAGCAACTGTGAGGGTCAGAGGCCATGAGAGAGGTAGGGGTAGCCCACAGAAGCCTTGGGAAGGCCAGGCCATGTAGGCCAACGGGGGAAAGGGAGAAAGTGTAGATTAGACAGCGTGTTCAGGAAATTAAGGAAAGCTGTGCTTAATTCCCCAAAGTGGCAGGATAAGAACCAACTCTGGCCACTTCTATTCCCAAACGTCTCCAAGCCTGAGCGAGAACTCTGCCAGGAATAGAATAAGCTGGCAATTATCATATTAATTGGATTGGCATAACAAGTAAAACTAGGTAATCCTAGTTTAAAAAAAATATTCTGTGTGCGGGATAGACTTAGTTTAATTAGTAATTACTGAGGCCACATATATTTTCTGAATGGGAATTAGCCAGTGTGAGGATTTGGCTCTAGGAAGTGTCTGTTATTAGTATAGCCAACTTCTTACCGATTCAGATCATCTAGTTTGTGAATTTCCAGCAGCAAAAACATAATCTCAGACCACTTTTCTGTTATCCCACAATATATTACTGGGCATTCTCCTCACCATCAGTTGGTGAGTAGTGTGTGTATCTGTGTTTATGCTCAGAGAATGCTGATCGTACCACTAACTGGGGTCAAACTAATTAGGGAAATATTGTCAAAAACAAAAGAAGAACCCCAAATATAGAACACATTGTGAAGTTACACATAAATTATCATTTTATTATAGAAGAAGCTACTTTCTACCATATGCATAAATAGTTGTGGGTTGACTATGATTACTGAGATGTTCTGGATTTTCTTTGGTTTGGAGCTCTTACTTGGAGATCCTAGTGTTTTCACTACCATTACCAAAGAGCCTGTGCAAAATTAATTGAAACAGAGCATTCCCGAAGCAGGATAAATGTAACCGACTTTTACCTCTGGAGACTGAACCCATCCCTCACCCTGTCCACTCCCCAGTGCTGAAGGAAGCCAACAGTCTCCACCACCTTTCTCACTCTTGAACACCTCTCAGCCACAAAGACCTTCAGGGGAAAGTTGCTTCTGTGACAGTTTAAAAGTTGGGTTTACTCCTTTAAAACTTCATGAACTTAACGCATGTGTCCAAAGACCCGAATTTGGACTGGACCACACTGTGTCTTGGGAAAGGACTTACTCAATGAGATTGTTTTGGGAAATGTTTGACAGCTGACCATTAGATTGAAAAAGTAATTATTGGAAATTTGCTTGTATTTTTGTTTTTCCAAATTAGATACTGGAGATGAAGGATGATTATTCTAAATATTTTCAGTTCAACCTCTTTCATCTCACCTCAAAATTCTGTAAGAGGCCAGATCGTATTATTATTAACCTTCTCCAGCTCAAGATAAATCACATGCTTCTTTCTATCAGTGACTCATTTTCAGTCTTTATTCTAACTACATACCTGCCTCAGGGGCCAGACTTTGGGGTTAAGAAGATGAGAATGTTTTTCCTGGACAAGGTAAGGCCTGTGGCAAAGAACGGGGTGTTGATTTTAATTCACTCAACAAAACAAACCTTGCTAAGTGCTTTTCTTTAGGTTAAAAACTTTACACTCAGATATGATGGCTAGAAATCATTTTGCATATGACAGGCTACCTACTGCATATTTTCAAAAATCTTATAAATTATGCTTTTAAAACAATAGAAATTACTTGACATTGTTCAGACCATATTTTTAAACAGGGATTTCTAAAATTGTGAGCATACACAGAAAATCATGATGTGATTTTAGGTATATGATAATGTGGATTAATAGAAGAAGGATTTCTTGAATCAATGAAAAGTATAAAATATATTTTAAGAACATTTATTTTTCTTATTTTTCAAGTTATAATAATACAAATTAATTAATAGAGTATTTTACGTAGTACATGCTGAGTAAATGTCAAATACTGAATGAATAAAATAGACTGGATTTAATGTATAGGTAATTTGTTCACTGGCTCACACAATCCTCCTGCAACCTTGCTTATTCTATTCGTATATTTGATTAAAATGTGCCTGGTGAGTAAAAACAAATAGAGACCTTGCTCTGTCCTAAATTTTACAAGTTCTGGCTGAAAAATATCTCATTAGTTTGATATTATTATGTGCATTTAAAGGTAATTGAAGGTGTAGGTAGGTACAGTTCAACTTGAAGGTAATCACAAAGGCCAATCTGTTTTACATTGTTTCTGAACTTTGGCTGAGTAATATCTTCTGGGTTAGATCCTAAACTGCTGTCTGTGGCTTCTCTCTGGAATGATGTATCTATCAGCCTTGCCTGCTGTGTGTAAGGAGCACAGATTGCCCAGATATGGCGAGCTCCGTGGAATCACAGAAACCAGAGGTGACAAGGAGAGCTATCACAGTGTCTCTGGCCCAAATTCCCACAGGTCCTATACAGCACTTTCTTCTATCTCCCATTGGGTTTATTTCCAGTCCAGGTTAGAATAATATTTCCGGTTGGGCTCTACTGTTTGGAAATAGATGCCAACCTTGGGTGGCCTGGAGGTGTGCAAAGAGATGATCTGAGAGGGTGGAGTAGGGTTGGGGCAAAAACAAGTCAAAAGAGAGAATTCAAGACAATAATTTCATCAAAAGGTTTAGACCAAATTTGATCACTGCTTCAATATATATGGAAATACTTTGTAAATTATAAATATGTTGCTTATTTTAACCTTGCTGTCTTCCTTCCTTTTTTCTTCCATTTATTTTAATTTTCTGCTGTGGTGGGCCTTGGGATCACAAAGATGAGTGAAGTAGGGTTACTGATCTTACACAGTTCTCATTCGGAAGTGGGGGTGGGATGAAATTCAGAGAGTGGTGTTGGAAACATTCACAGTAATAATCTCAATTTAGTTAAATTTGCAAACAGGTATAGGGTTTCCCTATGCCAAGGCACTGTGGCAAATAATATGAATGAACCAGTGATTCTTGCAGTTTGATACATGCTATCAAAAAGGTTTTACATAGTGCGTGTCTCTATAGCTAAAACACTAGCCAAAAGAATAGCTGCAAAATTTAGTTTCTGGAATGGTAATTATGTGTAAGAAAGTGACATTTTCAGCCCATCTCTCTGTATTTGGGGAAATCCTTTTTGTTCCCCCAAAACAATGTTTTGCTAAGGCCCAGAGTAACCGCCTATAACATTTTTCTCTCTCCACAATCTAAATCCCCTTCCACTGAGCTCTGTGATAGATGTGAGGTTTCCCAAGGATATTTATACTTGTTTGGCAGGGTGCCTCATAGGCAGTTTTGATTTGAAATGTGGTTTCAACCACTTCCCAAATTTATATACTACTCATAAAGAGTGAAATTTGGATTTTTAAAGTCCATAAATGCTGTCTATAAAACATGGACACCTGTCAGAGACTCAGTGCTGCTTAAATACTGTTGATTATTAAGCTCTTATGGTGCAATTTTATGTTGCTAGAGTAATCATTTTTATTGGCTTTTCTTGACAACAACCCAGTGGCATTTGACAGTACTTTTCTTGTACTTTTACATTCTGAGATTGGGAGCAAATGAAATAGATTTTGTGCCCACAAGCATATTCAAACACAACAGGGGTCACACTGATGGACCTCTAAATCTTCTCCTTAACTTTGGCCCTGCAGTTCTGGACCCTCTTTTAAAGTGCTCTATTTTATATAAATTCTTGCATTTTTTCTTTATTTTATCAGTTGTGACACTTTTTAATTATCCTTGGAAAATACCACCCAGGACTTTTCCTGAGTAATTTCTGTCCTGCATGCCCAGTAAGATAATGCAGCAGAAAGAACCTTGGACTAGAATGAGAACATTAGGGCTCTAGTCCTTAATATTCCTACCACACAGCTGTGGGATCTTAAGGAAGCCACTGCTTCTCTCTGGTCCCCAGTTGTCTCATCTTCAAGAAGAGGGGCTAGAATAGTTAGTATTTAAGGTTTTTCTTCAAAGGTTGAAATAAAAATTTTCTATATTTGGTGGCACTTAATGAACATTTATTAATTGGCAAGCCCTGTGCTAAGAGCTATGTGGAGATGATCTCATTTAACCATCATAACCGCTCTATGGTATAAGTACTGCAATTTCCCCTCCCCCTTTTACAGATGAGGGATCTGAGGCTTAGAGAGATGGTGGTTTCTAGTTGCCATCAACAGCTAGCAAACCGTGGTAACAGAATCCTGACTGCCTGATTAAAGAGGCCACGTTTTAAACTGTGACAGCACAAGTGCTATTCTGGAAGAAATGAAGACGAGAGATGTCTAAGAACCCCAACATTGTGTCCTGATCTAAGAGCATCACCCTCATTTGTATACCTGGATACTGAAGACTCATTTATAGATGGGTGTCCAGTAACTAACCATAGTTCCTGGTCATAAAGGCTTCAAAGCCCCAACACCCCGAAATGATTGGGAATATTAAATAAGTTCTGAGTCATGGGTTCTTAGCTTGAAAATACTTCAAGTACTGTTTTATTAGGCCTAAGAGAGCTGTAAAGATCAGCTGAAATAGATGTTTCTTAATGAGAGTACTACTGACTCCATTAAACATGCGGGGAGAACTAAAAATGAGAAACTCCAAGTTTCAGTTCTCAATCAGAGGAAAGTAATTTCTTGATTCCAGGTGATCCCCACCCTAATTTGGATTATAAAAATTAGTATCTTAAAATTGTTCATATCCCACCAACCTTTGGCAAGGTGCATTTCCAAAGGATCCTGATACCTTTATATTTATAATTTAAATGATATAAAGAACTTATTGGACAGATTACAGAGCAATCACTATCTCTGCCATTAAAAAACCATAAGCATACAAAAGACAAGATGTGTTTTAGAATCAAGAAACTCATATTGTGAAGCCTTTGATCTGTTTCTTTCATGGCTCATATTAAATAACTACTATCATCTAATAAAGAAACAAGTAAACAGAAAGACATGTAAGTAACTTCTCCAATTTCAAAGCAGTAGAACTATATTTGGAACTGAAAATCAAATAATATTTCTTAAAAATATAGAATTTGTTTCAGATGCT